GATGAATTAGATAAAAACATATTTCTTACATTAGCAACATATATGGAAAATCGTGTTTTAGAGATGATTGATCGAGAGAGGAGAAGCTAGATAATTAAACGAATTTTTTTTAATTAGTAATAATATTTGACTATATACAGTATATATATGAAGTTTCAATAATGATTAATAATAATAAAAAATTTTTTTACTTACCATAAAAAATTCCAGATATTTATGATGCCTACTGTAATTGCCTAAAATAGAAATATTTTAAATAACTTGCATAAACTTTAAAAAATTAAATGAACTTAAGTATGATGAAAATGTTTTATAAATAAAGTTCATATTGGTTTTTTTAATAGTATCAAAATCTAATTTTATACAATAGTATCAAAATCTAATTTTATACAATAGACCTATATTGTCAAAGGAGTAAGCAAAAAACTTTTATTGTTATTATTAGTTTGTATTATAAAAATAATTAGAATTTCTAATTAATATATATTAGTTTACTAGGTTCTTTAATCACTAGTATAACATTTATAATTTTGAAAATTGGAATTGAAAGAACTTGCATAAACTTATATGAAATTTGGAACATTATTAAAAATAATAATAGATTATAATTTAAATTATATATATTTTCTTAAGGAAATTTGATTAACAATATGATTCCAAATTAAATATAATTCTCAATTACTTATTAATTGTTACTTAGTAATATAAACATAATACAGTTTTTGAAAAATATTTGAATTAAATATAAACATATGTATAATTCATATATTAAATTTAATATAAATTTAAAAATTGAGAATCAAATCAAATTGAATTATTAAAATCCTTAATTTATAAGTTCTTATAGGTTATTAAGAATATAATAAGTACCATTCTTTTTGTTAATTATATGAATTTTAGTTGATTAATATTGAAAGTTTTGAAATACAATTATATATTACAATTATATTTTTTGATTTGCTTATAATTGCTGATTGTGTAATAAAAATCTGTGATTAATTGATATATAATAGTGTTACATAAGGTTAAGTATATTGGATTCAGTTAAATATATTTAAAATTATAATTTACAATTTAATATTGGTAATGTGTCTTTAATTATTGTATTGCTTGAATAAGAAATATTTGTAAATTAAGAAAGAGTGAATTGGTTGATATGTAGCCTTTGTGTATATAGAGGTTTTGTTATGAAAGTTTGTTGCTTGTTTTAAATATAAGTAGATTTTGTATTATTTTGATATTAGAATAATAAAGTATAAGGACTAATTTTTTGTTAACTTTGAAAAAAAAACCAATTAATTATTAGTAATTGAAAATTTTAAAAAAGAGTATAGAAAAAAACAAATATTAATATTTTATTTTTTTGCTAAATAAGCTGTTGCTATTATTCAGATTGTTTTAAAATAAGATGGGTTACAGATAGTATATAATCAAATTGTGTATGCTACTTGTATAAACTTTATTTTTTCTCTGATATAAGAAAAAGTTTTAGAATTTGTGAGTTTGATAATTAATAGTTTAATGGTTGTAAGATTTCTTTTATTTTTAAGTTTTAATAATATTTAAGTTTGTATATAAAAAGAGAATTTTATTCAAGATTATTTATTCTACTTTATTTTGTTTTTAATTGTTTTAATTATTTTTGATTATAAGTTGTTTAGATCTGAATCAATTAAAGTGACAAATTGAATTGCATAATTTAGTTGTATTGAAATTATCCAGTAAAATGTTTGTCTTGTAATGGAACCATTTTAATTCTTTTGATTTGAAATTATATAGATAAAATTGTTAATTTTTTCTATAAGTTTGAAAGACTTCTTTTTAATCCAAAAATTCAAATCTGATATCAAAATTGTCTATATTGTTTACTTTAAGAATCAATAATATATTCAATACTTATTTTTTCTTGTTATTCAGTATATTCTGTTATGCTATCAAAAAACAAAAATTTTTACTTAAAAATTTCTTATCAAAAACTATAATCAGTTTATTTCTATCAATCAATTACTATTTCAAACTCAACTAATTAAATATTATTAAATTTCAAAGCAATTCTATATAATTAAAACATTATATAACAATTGATATAAACAAATTCTATTTTGATAATATCAGTCAAAACAAGATTATATTACAAAAAAATAAATCAATTAACATATCAATAAAAATATTAATAATTATAACAACAAAATATGATCTAAATAATATGTTAACAATATTATTATTTATTTTAGACAATAGCTTGACTATTTTTGAAAATAATATTCTATTTTAGTTAAATAGATCAATTAGTATAATATATCTAATTCAAAATATTCTTTGTGTAATAATCAATCTTTTTTTTATTTTTCTTTTGATTATTATCAAACATTCAAATATAAATAATCATATTATTACTCCATTAATAATGACTTAAGAAATGGTTATTAAAAGAATATATCATCAATACTATTATATATCTTGAGCTATAACCTGGTCATTTTGAAAAGTGCTACTGTATTTCAAAAAAATAGAACTATCAAAGTGATATTAGATATTATTTGTACTATAATTGGTTTTTTTGTCATTTTTTTTGTCTAGTATTTTCTTTTTTTATTTTTATATTTTCTTAAATCTTATTTTATATAATTTTAATAGGTATTTATAGTTGCTTGACATTATCTTAAATATATATCAGTTTTAATATTTATTTTCCTTTGTTACTTAGATAGTTTTTATAGGCAAGTTAGCATTAGGCTTGTTGATTAATTAATCATATGAGAAATATTGTTACTTTTTGCATGTAAAATAATTTAAAATTTTTATGATAATAAAAAGATAATATTTATTTACTAAAAAAAAAAATTTTTTTAAAATTTTTTTAAAAAAAAATCTACTTATAATTAACAATCGATTAATTTGATAAAATATTTTCAAAATTAAAATAAAAAAAATATATTAAATCTAATTTAGCAAAGATCAAAGTTTATTTAATAATATATAAAACAAACATATAAATTAATTTGTTAAGCTAATAATTCAATATCAATTAAAAAAAAAAAACCTTTAAATCAAATTTATATTCAATTTAAAATAAAAAAATTTTAGCTTTATGAAATAAAAAATATAAATGGAATTAAAAAAAAAAAAGATTATGTTTAAAATGAAAGTAATGAATTAACAAAAAATAGTCAGTAGTTTTAAAAATCTTAGAAAAGATTTAAGCAAGCAAAGTAATATCAAATAAAAAGTCAATTAAAATAAAAAATAAAAAAATAAAACAATTTGTAAATGGTAAAAAAGATTTTGTTTTCTTTATTTAACAAAACATATCAAGAAGCATTTATAGATTTGTTAGGTATTAACAAAAGAATAATTGTTAAAATATTGTTTTAATAATGATGAAAAAAAAAAAAATAAGATAATGTAAAGTAAATAATATACAATATATTCCTAATGATTTGATTGATTATTTTCAATTACGTATACAGTATATTGTACGTGTACATCCAATACATTTTACAATGCACTGTTAAAAATATATACAGTACATACAAGAATATAGCATATTTAAAATCGTATCATTTTTATTTTATATCTTTATCTCTGCTCTTTTAGCATTTAGCCTTCTCAATTAACAATTACGTGTTAATTCTTTGGTGTATTAGCAACTTGACCAGTTACCTTATAAAATTCCATAACTTTCAGGATCTTCAAATCATGCAATATCCATTCATGTATTGTAACATAACTTTTTTTTTCTTAATGATACAGTATAACAAATAAAATCATCAAGTATTTAATAAACATTAAATATGCAGGATACACCATATACTGTACATTGTATACAGTAGTATATACAGCATGTTATTTTTTAAATTCTAAATCTGATCATTTCAACAACTCTGATAGTATATACTCATTTGGATAAGAATATTTTTAGGTAGGAATGAATGTTTTTACTAAACACTCTTCATAACCGTTAATTACAGTATATAGCGACCATTAATTATAATTGAGTTGCTGTATATACTTTCATTGAATTATCAAAAAGTCTTCATATTTTGACTACCATATTTAATTGACTGTGCATGCGTTACGCATTCATTTGGTAACTGATAAAAAAGAAAATTGGATACGTCCTGGGTGAGTACGGTAAATGGTTACTAACCCTTAACTGTGTAAAAAAACTGTAAAGTTTTAAATATTAGTATCAAACAAGTGAACATAGGAATAAGCATGATGAGGTTCTTCGGAAGAATGACCAAAAATGTCATGTGGGATCAACGTTGCCGGGACCCAGGAAGGCAATAAGTCCGATGAATTTTTCAAACGGAAGGCATGATCGACGCAACCGTCTCGTAACAATCTTAAAATTTGGTTGTGCATCTCGTAACGATAATTTAGTAGCAGTCTTTTAATGATCAATTATGGATGTTGATAAAAAAAAAAACGACATCAAAAAGGAGTGATGATTATACATGGCGCACGTAGATGTATATCTGTCTAATGTCATTACGCGTTTCGTTATCAAGGATGTTTCGTATCACGTGTCATTAAACTCGAAAAGTCAAGGAAATCCGGTCACCTGGCATCTGGCAAGCGGAGAATGTGAATCATGTGTGCTAAAACATCTGAAGAAAAAACATGGTTTGTGAAGAACACGCACACTGATGCAATGATATTCCCTTTTGATGCGTTTTTCATGTAAAACGCAAACACGAGCGTACAGAGTACGCGTTGCAAAAAAAGAAGTACAATATACTGCATATATAGTAATAATAGAATCCGTGGTTTACTTTCTTTTTTTTTTTGTGTCGATCGTCCTTTGAAGTTGATCCAGAATGTCAATCACTATTTTCGCGTCGTGTGAATCTAAAAATGTTTGAATACGGTAACCTTTAAAAAGCTTTTCATTTCATTAATTTCTAACAAGTTCCGAACAAGATCTTTCTGAGTACGGTGGAAACGCCGTAAATGGCAATTATAATAGCCGGTGGCACATTTGATGAGACGCATCGTCACGCGTTCGCTTGCGTTTTCTGACCACCTTCGACGCTCAAGACACGTTGTACACAGGTGACATGGTGAATTGCAACCTGAGCTTTGCCAATAGTCGGAAAAAAGTATGGGAGTAATGGAAGATAGTAAAAAGTGGTTTTTTGTGATGCATGCGCATTGGCAGTGTGTCTTTGCGCGACGTTCTTTTTTAGTAACAATATACAGTTTGTTTTTAGACATAGGCGGATCGTTGGTATACTTGTAGGGTCCGCGTTTCCTATTGTATTATGATTATGCTCATGAAACCTCATGACAACAATAACTTTGAGTTTGGATGGAGGCACAAGCATTTTCGAAAAAGTTTAAATTTCCTACTCAAAAAGGGTGGACTCTTTGTTTCTCTTGGGGAGAGGCGAAGGTGAAAGAATTGTTCATTCATTACGCTTTTTTTGTCTAGTGAATGTATGCGCGTGTGTGCAAATGAGTCGATGTGTGGAGTGGGTCGTGTTTATAGTACGAGCCTCCCATTCCTTTATTTGTCATAGTTCGATCTTTTGATTATTGTTCTCCTATATAATAAATCCTAAAAAGTTTCGGCGGCGTGTGTTTGACAAGCGAGGTGAAACGATGCTATCGATTGGCTTTTTTTTTTCACTACAATATGTGTTAAGTTATCGCACGCTTGTTTACATAAATTGAGTGTTTGTAATGCATACTACGTGTTTCATTTTTTTTTTTTTTTTTTCATTTGTATCACATCGCACACCCTTTCTTTCTTTCTTTCTTGCAGTTGTGAAAAGAAAAAAAAAGTCAAGGGGACTCCTCGAGGATCCCTGCCCTGTTTCTTTTCCTGCGTCTCTTTTTTTTTTTTTAAAAAAAAAAAAAAATTATTATTATTATTAAAACAATAAAAAATAAAAAATTTCCACACACTTTACTTGTCTCACTTGTCAGGTCAGCATTTAGCCAATTATATTTTGTACGTTCTCGTTAAAGGAGTACCAAGATAATTTTTCCCATCACAACTTAAATGAATTTGCTGCGTCCCGTCCGTTGAAACTCCGAGGGAATCACAGATCGATCTGCAAAAGCGGATTACGTAATATTCTAGATATTGAAGTAATCATTCTCCGCGGACTAATGGTGAATGATCAAAACACCATGAGGACCGAAAGGGAATAGGTATGGTCTAAGTTTATATAAGTTAATTCCATGTCGGACTTCTGTTGCGTAATTTCCAAGGTAGCACAAAATAGAATTCGGCATCAAGTGTTTACTCATTTATCATCTTATCTTAGATATGATCAAATGATTTCCAAACCATTGGTAATGTGATGGTGCACAAAAACATTGTCCGACCTTGCATCACGGACAAGATTCAGATACAAATCAAACGCACGAATTTCGCAAAGAGCAATAATAATCGTTCATGCGTTCACTCTTTTTTCACAAATGTCATGCAAATATCTTGTAGTTAGGTCTAATAAAGTACAACATGGAGATTTTCTCGTCTGGAGACAGCGACCTGCAAATCTTTTCCAGGGTGCAACTTGATGTTGCCCAATGAAAAGAAGAAACGATGATGTAGAGAGAGATTCATGTTATGTAAAGCAGATGGTGCCCTGCATTTGGACAATTGCATACGATCGGCGATCTGATGAAATTCATGTTCCTTAAAGGTTTGTTGAAAAGATTAAAGATTATCATATCTGTTATCTCTTGAATCTTTGTTCCCTGAATTTAGAAAATTCGGACAAAAATGAAAAATGCCATGCGTCTTGGTAAGATGACATGAATTCCTATTGGTGCGATGTTTCGCCTACGTATTAGGCAGGTTTGAAGAATACGAGGGTGACACCTCATACGTTTCGTGTTCTCATGAACGACTGCGTAAAACGACATCCATCGCATCGTTACCTTTTTCGAATTTCCTTATGTGATCTCGGTAAACAAATTCAACTCGTATTTTCCATTTTATTGCGCAACGTTAATTACTGTGCAGTTTGGAATTTGGAATGACTTTCTTTCCTGTTCGCATTTGTCAGCACCAACCTTAAACAAGTTTATCCATTTACTGGTGATGGATGATGATTAAGTTTTTATCGATCAATCACTTTGCTTCCCGGACTTGAATTCATTCATTGGTGACCAGGTTTTTCTTGGAATCGCGCGAGGATGGATGGTGTCGAACACTTTTGAACTCACGCAATACCAAGAACCGTCTTACTAAAATATTTGTGCACATGTTAATGTTTTTTTAATTTTCTTTTGAGTGATCAAAAAAAGTTGAGTCAGCGATATAAAGGGAAATTCATGTGGGCAAGACAATAAGACCTCGGCGAAGGATGCGGTGGCATAACATTACGAATACGCCGTAAAAAAAAAGCTTAAAATCCACACGCCCAATCAATTACCACAGAATTCTACCACGGACTTTAAATGGTGCTTTATAGGAACCCAAAAAATTTTTGGTGGTCAGTCTAGATATAAATGGATAGAGATACTTTGTTAAAACGTTTTATTATTATTATTATTATTGTACAGGCGAACCATTTCATTCAGGTGCATAGTAAGAAAGACGTGTATTGATCATAAAAATATACCTATATATCTATTAGTAAACAAATCTGCACATAACAAGTAAATAAATCAGCAGTACTCCTTTTTCGAAGGAGACGAAAGAAAAATCAGTGTTGATGAGAATTCAATGAGGTGCATTGTACACAGACACTTGGAAATGAATCGAACGGAATTGATCATATAGATTATTCTAATTGAGGACTACCGCTTGTATGGCAATGACGACAAACAAATGCAATTCCAATGAGGAAGCCTTCGGTCATATCCGATTTTCAAGATCCACCCTGTCTTTTTGCGTGCTGGGCCTTTTTTTCGATCCGTCGTGCATTTTGGGTACAAAAGTGAAGGTCCCAATTTTTTGGGGGGGTGAGGGATCTCCCTCTTCGGATTTGTAAAATTGGTGCCTGAAATTTAACCTATTGCAACCAAATAAAAAAAAAATTATCGACTAACCATTTGTTGAAAATATCGAGACCGTTTTTTTATTACAATTCTAAGTAAAGGGGTTCCGTTTTTGGTTTATGAGTGCCGATCATCGTTCAATGGTGAACGGAAGGGCGGCTTGTCACAGCGGCGGTGGTGAATAAGCCTTAAGCTAGACGAATGCCTACCATCTATTCACTATACCCGCACGACTTATTAGGAATTGGGTTCACAAGTGGCACGTCGTGATGATGCTTGCGAAATGGTGGCTTAATTCAAGCAATACCGTTCGCATTCTTACAATATTAACTAGCGTGCATTCAGATCATACGATCGCTCACGAATGAGAGTCGACGCATTTCCAAAAAATTTTTTTATTTGTCTCGAGCACGATCAAATAAATTGACCAAAAAAGTAGGTATAATTTCCTCCGAATTGGATTAGCCTCCTTTAAGCTAGTCACGGTTGATCATGCGATTTTAAATGGTAATCTTTTGACACATTTGAATTTCCGGACAAGAACTGAGGACAAGAAGAATAATAATAATAACGTTACATGTTACATCAATTTAATTAATTTCTTTTTACGTTACCTAGCGTGATCCTATTCGATCTCAACGACCAACTTCCTGCTCCTTTCCGGTACAGATAATTTCGCAAGCCTCCTTTCCCACAATTTGATCAATAGAAGCTAGTTAGAATTTTCTCAATATTTCTCATGATGGTTTTGTGTGTTCAATTGCAGTAACTATTCTATTCTATTTTTTTTTTTTAAAGTAATACAATAAAGTAATCAGAGGCAAGTTTTTTATGCTTAAATGGCATTAAACAATGTGGTTTTTTTTAACTGATGCATTATTGCATCGATGATTTGTATGGTCAATAAAAATACTGTATCTACACAGTATATTAAAATATTTTTTTTGAAGTGCACATTTGTTAAGCGACAGTCCTGGCTTCAGGAGGATCACATGATTGATAAAAAAATGTGTCACCTCACAAGATTTTAAGCAGGGTCCAGGGCATAAGGTATATGTGGTTTGAGTCACACTTCTTCGACCGCAGATGTCAAGAGATCGAACCAAATGAAGCAACTTTAATTATTTCCTTCGGATCTTCAGAAAATATACGTCATTTTTTTTAAGTGTAAACACGTATCACGCGATTTCCAAGATGTTTACGGATCAAAGAATCGGACAAAATTTGGTCAACATCCTGAACACACTTGACGCCCCATTTAAACTTTCAAAAATACAATACTAACGGATCAAGTAATATTTAAAGAATATCACCGAGTCTGTTAAACAAAGAAAGTCAATGTTCAGCCCAAAGAAACAACAAAAGGGGAGTGAAAGCCGACGTACAATGTTTATTTCTTAATAAATACTTTGTCGTGCTTGACAAACAGTAAAATAGATTAGCGCCAGGAAACGACCTTGTATACAAGGTTAAATTACAATGCAATGGAACTTTCCGTGAAACGCTAATAACGTGAGACGGGCGGAAGGCGAATCGGAAGAATTTCCAAAAATCTCACACGGCGAGTGATACTCATGAAACAAGAAGTCAAACGATACTTGAATCATGAGACGCGCGTTTGACATGTTTAACGATCATCAGGGCAAGAAGGATGACAGTAGGAATTTCGAAACAAGTTGTAACTTGATCAGACAATATTACATGTACGCCTGATAAAAAATTTCCTTTTTATACTTGACAAGAGTAATACACAAGTTTTATGGTAATGAATGAGCTCGTTTTTTGCCGCAATCTTGTTTATAAGCCAGTAGGCAAAAAATGTTTATTTGTACAAATTATTTTCGTGTTTGGTGACAAGAAGGATGTGTCGTTTAATCTTATTTGTTGTTTGTTGATCATGCCTTGACATGTACTGAATTTGTGTCACCTTCAAGGTAGGCTGGATATCACGCGATACCGAACTATTCGGTGTTCCTGGAATCCCAGTTATACCGTACACTTTGTATATTCGGCAATTCCAAACAAATCAATTACACCAATTTATACAACTATCGGTTGAAAGTCATCATCATTTGAAGCTCTACAAGTTTTGGATTTTCGTATATACAGTACTATTGTACAAGTACATACTTACATTACATGTATTTCTTATTTATTAAATAAAGTTTCAACCAAACAATAATCATGCAAACCCTTTTGTTTTTTGAATAATAAGCTTATCTTGATTTGATGGTCGAATTTTTAATTGCTAATTCGATTCATATTTTATTTATAAGCAATCCCTTTTTTTTTTTTTTCTTGTCAACAGTCTGTTTCGAAAAATTAGAGAATGAAACGATTTTTCGAAAATAACTCCATACATGGATCT